ATAATGCAGCAGCTGATTCACAGCAGGAGAATCAACCGTGCATGATGTTTATTCAGGTCAATCTGACGTCCTGAATGGTTTGATATGATCGCTGTAGCTAGACTGATAAAACATTTATGTAAAGACGGATCCCGCGAGCTGACAGAGGTGAATGAATGACAAAGAGACGCAAGCTAATACCAGCAGTGATTTGATCTTGAGGTAATTCCTCAGAGAAATAGGCTATAGGCTTTTGACGTTACTGCCGTAATGGTTATATGCAGAATATTTCAAGATACTGCAGGTGCAGAGAGGACAGGCTTTAGTAATCCAATCGCTCAAATAAATAGCTTATAGAAGAGGATGGCGCTAACCTCCTAGCTGTTGAGCTAGAATCGAAGAGCTAAATCATCAAAAGATGAAGCTGGTGCAACATTATGGTGCATTCAAGTCCTCCTGGAAAGTTGGATAAGTCATAATTATAAAATTCAACTTGTCAGAGCAAGATGGCAATGTACCTTTCTGTGTACAATTCAATACGATTGTTTGTTTTTATTTAATTTATGAAGCTGCTCTAAATTGAATCAATATATATTTTATTATAATTGTACAATATTACAGTATTAATACATGCAACTTACACTGAAAAAAATGGTGGCAAAATAACTTTCACTTAGCAATTGCTATTAAATTTCACAAATAGTTATAAAAATAGCACGAAATATTAAATTAAATATGAATTTTGAAGTAGCAACACTAAAATATTATTTTCTTGTAAAATATATTCAATCTTTGTTTTAAATCTTTATCTACAATGTAGATATTTTTTAACTGAAAAAAAATCATTTATTTTAAGAAATATTAACATTAATACAGACTTACAATTAATAGTATGTAACATTAAATTAAACATTTTTTTTTAAAGTAGGAAGACTGAAATAGTTTTTTCTTGTAAAATATACTCAATAATCTATATACAATTTTTTTTTTTTTTACAATGTAGATAGTTTTATTGTAAGTGAAAAATATTTTCATTTAATTATTTCATTTCATTTGTATTTATTTTATATTTATTTATTTTAACAAATTTAGTATTAATACAAATACTGCATCCATTGTGTCGAACATATTTCACTCGGAAACTCTGGGCCTAAAAATTGCTAAAAAAAATCAACAAATATCAACAAATAAACATGTATCATGCTTTAAGGATGTTAAGTTGTTTTTAGACAAAAATACTGATTAAGAAAATAATTATATTTTGTACTGGGCACTGACATAAACATGCAAAGACACATATAGTAGCTCATTAGTTCTATGCCAGCTGCTAATTATAACAATACAATCTGCTCTACACTACTGGGTCAATTACGCATAGATGTGCATCAATGAAAATGGCAGTTTTACTTAATTCGGGTCACCTGGCATATCTGCAGGATCTTACAGTAAATTAGCACAAGCGCAGAGGTAATATAACGCCCTTCAGTTTCATACTAACAAGGGCGATACAGCGGACTGATGTTCTGTTGGCAAGTGGAAGAAGACATTCATCAGTAGCCATGGTGTGCAGGGACAATTTACAGAGTGGAAAATTACAGCCCAGTCTGTCGTTTTTGAGTAGTTTGCATAAATTCACTGGTTTTTACGGTCATATAGATGCATGATACATATGATGTGAACCTTCAAATGAGTCTCGCTTGATGTAAAGTACATGCATATGAAGAAAACACGATTTAGGTCACCTTTACTGAGCAGCCGAGTGTGTAATGAACGCTAACGTAGAGACATTAATATGACGACTGAATATTGGGATGAACATTACACTGCATTACACTGTTTATTCATTCACAAAATGTACAGACATTTAAAAATGATAACAAATTATAATATTACATTTTATTATATTAATAATGACAATAAAATGTTTGCCAATATAGAGATGGACTGTTTATCTCATGGGCGAGTAACTTCCGGCAAACATTTGCAGTTATGACCATTAAAAAAATAAATAAAATGAAAAATGTATTGTTCACATGAGCCAGATGGATGTCAATGGCTACTGCACTATTTTTTTTTTAATATACTTTAATTTACAAACAGTAAGGATGCAATTATTTTAAAACTGTGCTTGATACCAATAAGCTGATAATTAGTTTCATGTTATGGCTGACAACCGATAAATGGCTTATAAAATTCTATAATATTTTAATGAAAAATAAAACTATCATATAAATTAATAATAAAAAAACAAAAAACAAAAAATAAATAAATAAAATAAATAAATAAATCACTACAAACTAAAAATAAATAAATAAATAATATAAAATATAGATATAAATAATGCTAAAATTAATTAATTTTAATTTTATTTTAGAAATATAATTATATTTTATAATAATATTTTTACCTACAAATTTCTACTCTATAAAATACTTTAGAGCTTGACAAAATAAATATATAAATGACATTAATTATAAAAAAAATAATAATGAAAACTTAAGATTTTAACTTCCATGACTTTTCAATGTCTAGACATCACTCTTTTAAAATAAATAAATAAATAAAAGTCTTAAATAAAAGTGGTCGTTGTTAAGGGAGAATAAATGAATTAAGAAAAAAAGTAAGAAACTTAATTTCATTTTAAATCTTGATTTTTAGTTGTTTTAACACATTTTATATTTAACATTTTTGATATACATCAATAACGGATACTGATAAATAAAAAAATGCATCATGCATCCTTAAAAAACAGTTAAGCTTTGGACATTCAAAATACAAAACATTAATAGAATGTGTATATTATTACAGAAGTCCCAGGCTGACTGAATTTAGAGTTTTAGAGTCAAGAACAGCTAACATCCACGACCAAGATGATAGCGACGGTTATGTCATGATGTTTAGCCTAGAGAGAGAAAGCGATTTTATCGGCTATCAAAACAAGAGCAACTTTTTCGTTTGAACAAATGGAGCTCTGCAGCTGTAAATCCTGCTGTGAGCTGCAGCCGGAGCCCTGTGATGTTTCCCTGAAAGCTCCTACCTCATGCTGTCGGCGTGATTTACGCACGCCTCGCCACCGTGGCCGTTTCGCAAAAGTGGGTTTTCCAATCACCCGCCCTTATCTGCATGGGGCGCAACACCCCGGAAACTCAGGGAAGGAGACAGATGAGATAAATCTACATCCAGAACACACATGCATGATGGATTCCCAGCGTACATGAATGCAGGGACAGATCACTACAGACTGCTGAGCTCTCCTGAGAGATTTATCAGAGACGTGGACAACAAACTCCATCGACAGTGAGAGACGGAGACAGAAAGTCATGCACACTTTCAGTAAAGTGCAAAACCAAAGCAGAAGCATCATAAACAGATTCTCTTTACGCCCACATCCATCAGAGATGAATGTAACAGTTAAATTACATAGAAACTATCTGCTCAAATTACCAAAAATTTGAATAAATGTAAATGTAAACCATAAAAAAATAAAGAAAAAAGATCCCTAGTTAGTTCAATTCAGCTAAGGAAAGCACAAAGTGACTCAGAATTTGAGATCAACCGATAATCGGTTTAACCAATATTTTTACAGATATTTTCAACTAATGATTACATTTATGCAAAGGTGATAGTCTCCCTTCACTTTTATATTACTCCATTTGAGAACATTAACATTTGCCTATTGTTAATATTATTATTGCTGCTGCAGTTGTTGTTATAAAAATGCTGTGTTTTTATTGAGATATGAAGATGAAATGGAGCAAAAATTACATACAGACTATCTGGTCATACTACATGAAATAATCTGCTCGAATGTGCTAAAGTTGCACTCAATTATATCAATTTACCACAAAAATAAAATAAATGTTAATGTAAACCATAAAAACAATTTAAAAAGAGTCAATTCAAGAAGAAAATACTGCAGGAAGACGTAAATTCTAGAGAAGAGCATTTTAGTACCATTTTAAGTACCATATTTGCATTAAATAGATGCATTACATTTTTATTGTAATTGATGTCTCAGTTATATAATGTTTGAATAAACCTTCAAAGTCTGTCAAATTTTTTAGAGTTCACTTGGCAACAGTTTGGAGTAAAAATACAATAACTATATGACTAGAAAGCTGAAGAAAGCTCAAAGTGACTCAGAATCAGAGATCAACCGATAATCGGTTTTACATATAATTTACCAGTATTTATTTACCAGTAATTATTACATTAATGCAAAGTTGATAGCCTCCCTTGACATTTTTACATTTATGCATTTAGCAGATGCTTTTATCCAAAGAGGAACTACAAAAACTTCTGTTTTTTATTTCACAATTATTAATGTTCTCCATTTAAAAACATTAGACTTTGTCAATTTATTTCGCCTTTTGTATTAGTGTTGCTGCTGCTTCAGTTGTTCTTGTTTGAAAAAAAAAATGCTATGTTTTTATTGTTGTGATATGAAAATGTAATTAAACAAAAACAAGTAAAACAGTAAATAAATATCAGTTCTGCATATCGGTTATTGAACATACAGATAATCGGCATCAGTACTGGTTCTAAAAATAAGTATCGGTCGATCTAATAAAAATGATGGAGAATATCACATTTTACAATTGTATTCCTACTATATGCTCCCATCTCTCAAACAAATATGTCTATATTGAGCATCTCAATGCTCAATGAAACATCAAAATGACTCATGTGATGTGCATATGTAGCACGTGTGTCTACATCTGACACGGATCTATAAACACAGATGGATGGGCTCAGAAAACAGAGCATCCGTCTTCCTCTTTGACTAATTCTGACTGAAAATCAATGTCCATTAGGTTGACTCACGACTCTGAGTGTCGCCTTTATTGTACTTTCGATTTTAATATGATGCCCTCGGGTTTCAAAACTTGGCCCGTTTCAGATGAACCACGCATATGTGATCTCGCTGTAACTTTTATCATTAAACATGAACTCCTGTTCCAACTAATTACATTAAAACGAGTCAAACTTAAGCGAGAAGCACAGATGAGACTGAATCTTACCTCAGCTCCCGTCAGGTAGTACGCAGAGAGAAGTCCGCCAACGTAACGGATGTTCACCTCGAACAGTGACGCCTCTCCATTCTGCAGAAAACAAACAAGAAACTCATCTTTGTGTTTTAGAAACAAAACAAATGACATTAATAATTAAGGAAAACATTTTCCAACATGCTGAAACAGCAAGGTCATGTTCATACTACAAGGCTGTTTTTACCTAAATAGGTGTTGAGAACCTTTCCTAGTTCATATTATGAGGAATCAAATTTCCCTTAATATTTTGAGACGAAGCAGTTTATTGTACTACCTAGGCCAAAACCGAAGATTTATCAGGGCTGTACAGTGTGACATATATGTTACACGTGCTACGAAATAACTGGTCTGTGCGATGTTTAAATTGACCACTGTAGCACGCGTGCGATACAGTTTTGCATGTTCATGTTGCATGTGCACAGCCACTTAATAGTGTGAAGTGATTTCGTTGTGCTTGTTTGGGTGTGTGAGATTGATTATACTTGGTAGTTAGGGGTGTGCGATATGACGATTTTTGATCGTGGACGATTAAAATGTCTCCACGATCTGCTTTTGAAGAAATATCGTTGTATCGTGCTACAGCGCACATTCTATCAGCTACAGTTCTGGCGCCTCCTCCGTCTCAATATAATGTACAACGCCACATGCATTCACATCAGTGTTAGCTCAGCGGTAGAGTTACTCTCACGGGACACTGCACTTATGCGCAATCACAAAACTACACTATTTCCATCTGCTTTAAAGCAATACCGGTTAAACATTTAATTCACGTGCTGTTCTGCATGCGCTTTTTCTGAGCGTGTACTCATGAAGCGCGCTCACACTGAGAGCCTGTCAAAAGCGCCTGATTATTGGACTAAGTTGTCTTTCGCATCTGAAAGCACCAGTGCTATGTGAAAAAAAGTTAACGTACAGCCCTGTTTATGCATTTGAATTGCATTTAAAATTTCCATCCATTTGAACTGAATGTGATGCATATTTGTCTGCCAAACATAAATGAAACAGATCATATCTGGGTAATAAACTGAATGTGTTTCAAAAACACAATAATCAGGTTTCTATATTTATCATCAATAAATCCAATCTGTTTCAATCTCATACATTTTAACAAACTGAATATTGCTTGTTCCACACCTATAGCCATATTTTAACTATTTTCATACTTTTCAGCTGAATAAATTTTGTTTTCACAATGAACAGATTTATGCAAATTCTAAGCAATTTGAATAAATGCATTTGGAATAAATGTCAAAATCAAACAAATGCAAATAGTTAATAAACTATGCCATGATTTTATTTATTTATTATTATTTTTTTTTGAGTGCAGAAATCTTACCTGTTGCATTTATCAACCCTCTACATTGCGAGTAAATCACTCGCATATGCGACTAAATCTTACTCTGGGCGACTAAATAATGTCTAACATTAGCCACTGGCTAATAAATTCTTAGATTTTACACGCCAGTATGTGTGTGAGAGGCGTTCAACACAGATTTTCACTCGATAAACACGCTGACTGAGCGCAGTTTCGCTCTCTGTTAAGCGATCTGTACTATTTGGATGCGCTTAATGGATCATGTCATGTACTCAATGGATGCGCAGTATGTAGCACACAGCGCACCTGTATTTGACGTACCGTAAACTAGTGTGAAGGCGCACGACTCAACGTCGCTTTACTGATAGCGCTGTGTGTTTCTCACACATGCAAAGAGAGAATCAGTCTGGCGAGTAAACAAAAAAATTTACTAGCCAATGGCGATTATATTGCCAAGGTGTGCGTAGAGGGTTGTTTATGCATGACTGACAAATATGCATCACAAATGGATGGAAATTTTATATGCAATTCAAATACATCAATCCTAAATTTAGGGCTCAATATTTTTTTTTCAAAAACTCAATTTCTAAGGGTCATAAAGAGTACAGAAAATAGTCACGGAAAACCAAACTATTCCTGTTCTGCCACAATAAATGTTCCTTCAGGAAACAATTAAATAATAAAAATGCATGACCGCTTTAAAGTACATTCACATCTCAAAGAGTGTTTTCTGGAATCCATGCGGCCGTGACCTCTGGCCGTGTCACTCAGTGACTCGTATTCAACGCCGCAGTGCTTTCCTGCTGCGGGGAATCTGCCAAGATCTCTGCGGCCAGGGCCGAGAGGGCAGACCGTTATTAAGCACTTTTAGACCCTGTTTCCCACTGCTGGGAGTCAAAGGAGGCTATTGATTTTTGAAGAGCGTGTGAATAATAGCAATTGTGCAACACAAACTTTTCTCAGCAAGACCACTATGAATTGTTTTTCCTATTGCAAATCAAATCAAATCTCAAAATGATTGCATTTAAAGTCACTCACCTCAAATTTAAGGTAAGGTACAGTTCAACCCCAAAAAATGAAACAATAATACCCTTCCATGGAAACACAAGAACTTGTCAGAACGTTTACACAATGTTTCCATAAAATAACCAGGTTCGAAAAAGCAAACCATAACAGAACATTTTTTACTTCAAAAGACTAATAATATAACACATCAGTAATATGAACTATATTTTCATGGTGTTTTTATATTTTTATAAATAATCCTGTCACAGTATTACTGTGTTGTACTGAAAAGAGCAGATTTGACATTCTGCAAAAACCATTTTATCCACAGATAATAATAAAGTCAATGACTGTTCATTTAAGAGTCTAAAATTGAGTCTATATTGGGGCTGTCATTTAATTTGTTAATTCAGTTCTTGAACTGTACAAAAATAACAATATGCCTGTGTGTAAATTCACTAAGGGACTTTCCTACCATCAAACCATTTCAACATGAACTGTTTTTCAGCATCATAAAATGGTGACGCTCATAGACATTCAATGCGACGCAACGGCCAAAGATATCCATCCGATGCAGGTGTGGGCGGTTAAAGCGATATACCCGAAACAATATATCAACCGGAATTAATATGTTAGTATCCATTCTTTGGTGATTATGCCAGTGTTTTCTGAGGCACTAAATCTCAAGCGCAGGCTAAATAAACCCTATTTACATTTACCTGAGTTATGAATGATAGTTTGCAGTCTGACTCTGAACTGAATATAAGATAAAAAGACCTCATCTAGGTTTGAGTGTTTCACGACAAAGATGCCAAAACAAACACACCAGCGCTATCCATGTAGTCCGATTCATAATAGGCTAAATGACTCAGTTGAGAAGGTTATTTAAATGAATCATTTTCACTGGTATGAATCAGTCTGACGAATCCTCCAATGCACTTCAAATAACTCTTTATTTCTTTCTTATTTATTGGCTACTGAAAGTTCATAAAATATAAAACATTGTAATTACTGAATCAACATCGGACTCACTGAAATGCCAATTATTATTGCTTTAAATGTTGTCCGTCAAATGTTGAAACAACCCAGCATTTTTTGGTTGTGTGGAAGAACAAATGACTCAGTTGAACCGGTTCTTTTAGTGAATCATTATAATTGCTGTTTGAATTAGTCAGAAGAATCCTTCACTGAATGAAACTGAACAAGCCAAAGCGGTATCTGAATCACAAACACTTGACTAAAATGCTATTACTACTTTGAGCGTTGTCCGTCTAAAAAATATAAGTTGTTTTTCTTCTTTTTTTCTAGTGCAGCTTAGTAAAATGTAAATATTTGTAATTACAGACTGGATGTGTGGAACAACGTGATTCAATTGAACCGGTTCTTTTAGTGAATCATTCTCATTGACGTTACTGATTTGAATTAGTCTGACGAATCCTACACTGAATGAAACTGATTCGTCAAGTGGGTTAATTATTCAACCTCTGAGTCGCTAATGCAAATTATTACATTTAATGTTTTATATTTACCTTTAACGTATTAAAGTTGTTTCATTCATGTTCATTACTGCTCAAATAAGAAAAGAAAAGAAACAAAATAAAAATGTAAAACCAAAACTATACCAAATACAATGACATACATTTTGGCTTATATCAGCCTTATGCATGTTTACACAGAATAAAACTTAAATTAAAAAAAACAGCATGAAAAATTGCTTTTGTTATGCAGTGGCCTATAATAGAGACTATTAAGATAAGGGCAGTTAAAGGCCAGGAGAGGCCCTAAGGAGACATAATATGTCAGCATAATTACAATCACTTGAGTTTGCAAGGAGTTGAGGTGACAAGAGTCCTTATTGACTGGCAGCCACTTGCAGGAAGGAAGCAGAATCTCTGGAGTAGACGGTAAGAGAATTATAGCAGAGAACCATAGAGTCTAATCACCTCCTCAATCCATTCATTGATGCCCTGATCAACAGCACACTTAAATCACACTCACATCTGAAATCTAAAGAGGCTTCCAGCTCGATTTGTGTCACAGCAGAACGACAGCAGTCATCTATCACAGCCTGCTTCAGAGCGACGTGTCAGACGAAGAGAGAGGACTATCCAAAAAACACAAGCCTTCACTGCGAGCCAAATGGAAGTAATCCCAACTCACACAGAGAGTATTTCAGTCTTAAATCAGCTGCTGAACAATTCACAGCGGCAAAACAGAGCATGTTTGAGGAAAGCACGCTAAACAACCATGAATTAAGAGAGGGTTTAAAAGGATTATCCTGTAAGAAATCAGAAAAAATCCCAAGCTACAACGCTTAAGCAGGTATTTGTGGGTAAATATGTTTGTGTATGTGAGTGTCTTTCCATTGTAAAAACACAAATCTTGAATGGCTCTCACTCTACTTTCTGTAATGTTGCAGTATTTAGCTATAAAATAAAGAGTGATTAAAATGGCACATTTTTTAAAACTAAGAGTTCACCCAAAAATAAAAATTAATGTAGTCATCCTCAGGTCATCCAAGATGTACTGTAGATGAGTTTGTTTCTTCATCAGATTTGGAGAAATGTAGCATCACTCAAAGTGCTTTACATTGTCGGGGGTATCTCCTCGTCCACCACCAGTGTGCAGCATCCACCTGGATGATGCGACGGCAGCCATAGTGCGCCAGAACACCCACCACACACCAGCTAACTGGTGGAGAGGAGACAGAGTAATGAAGCCAATCAGTAGATAT